CAGAGTGAGAGAGAGAGAGAGAGAGAGAGAGAGACAGAGAGAGAGAGAGAGAGAGAGAGAGAGAGAGAGAGAGAAAGAAAGAGAGGGAGAGAGAGAGAGAGAGAGAGAGACAGAACGAGAGAGAGAGAGAGACAGAGCAAAACAACATAACATTTCCTCTCTGTATTTCTGACCTCTTCATTGAGCTCAATGCTGTTCTGAATGTCAGAGGTGCCGGAATGATTTCTCTTACACGCACACACACGTACACACACACCCACCCTCTGCTGTGACTCAATTACTAGCGGTGGAGCAATAATAAAGTCCGGACGGCAAAGACTTCGATCGGCTGACCTGCCGGGAGGCACAAGCTGACTTCACCATGATGGATCACCTCTCAGTGCCCGTGCTCTTAAACACACACACACACGCGCAACAGCTCACTCCACATACGCAAACACACTCACTCTTTATCTCTTTCATATAAAGGATCTATTCCTTGTTAAACAAAGTCTAATATGAATTAATAACACGTGCATCATTTCTATACAATACAATTGAAAAGTCTGGAATCAATAATACATATATGTAATTGATTAAAATAATGATTTGATTAATCACACTCCTTTGTGTTGTTAATTATGACTAATTCCATTTGTCTTATTTGTTCTAATTTGACCCTAAAGAAAGATTTTTCCATTTAATAGCAGTACATTTTGTTATAGCTATATGAGTTGAGAAAATAAGCTTCATCAGAATGTATTTATTACTTTTAGTCATTTAACAATGTTATTTTCATTTCATAAATGCAGAGTTCACATACATACAACTTAAAAGGTTTCAAATAATTTGTAGGAATTAAGAAACATTAGAAGTATCCAGTATCATGAACAGAGCTGTAGATGAATCCATAATAACTGAGAAATTTATGTAACACTGAGAATGAAGTTTACAGCAAAATTACAAGGGTTTCATTGCAAAATAAATTATAGATCACTTTCAAGTATGTTCATTTCTTCGTGAGTGGGCTTTACAAATAATATAACATTGATAAGAAATATCAGTGCTATATTATGATTAATAAAACCTTTATTAGAGAAATAAAAATGTGTTTTCCATTATACACCAGCATTTATTCTTTTCAAAAACTTGTTATATCCAAAATTGTTACCAACACATATATGGCATTTTGGAACGAAACTCTTTAAGCAATTACAGTATATAATTTATCATTTAATAACCACAAAACACTTCACATTTTAAAAAAAAAACATCTGCTGTTTTAATCTACAATGTATAAATTATTACTGAATAAAATAATTATTAAGATGGCACGATTTCAAACCGTAGTGTATTTACACTGTACTAATGCGGCTAAAGACACATTTTAAGGGTACATCCTCTCACACACCTCCACCCCCACAAAACCCCTACCTCTAGACATGCTGTACTGTTAAGTTTGCACCTGCTTCACCTCAACCATAGCGTGCTTCATAGACCAGTTTTAATGTACTTTCCTCTCTTGGGAAAATACGATTCAAACTCACTAGACTGGGAGAACAAAAAAAATAACAGAGGGAGATTCCAGAGTGAAACTGGCAACCCCCTCAAACAATCTGGACTAATGAGTAGCTTACTGATATGAGGCTCAGCGGTACATTTTCCCTTTACCTACATTCACCACATGGATTTTACCAGCTAATAGACTCAGCCCTGCTCCGCCCACAGATGTACTGTTATGTAGCTTTTAGTAGAAGATTGGACAAGCTTTATAGAATGTTGACAAAAATCCCATTTACCCCAATGAGAAATTGCAATGCAAAACTCGGTTTAATAAAAATATTATCATAACCAACTGCTACAATGTTTGTTCACAGATGCTGCATTATGCTGAAACACTGAAAGAATGCATTTGTGGATGGAGCATGAATAGATCAGCTGTGATAAACACATGCCCCATTTAGGGCTGGACATGGTTCAACATTCAGTTTGACTGAGATGAGAAATAAGTATAAAATGATATCCAGTAAAGTGGTTATATGGAATGACTGCAATGGATTATAGACTAATCAAGAAGAGCTAATGTTAATGACATGCATATGAACTACAATTTAAACAGCCAACCAGCAGTCTAGATTGTGGTACAAGCAAGTTTATCGGCTCAGAGATGCTCAGTCTACTTAGGTATTGAAATTCGGTACTAAATGACAAGGAACTTTTCAATACCTGGTAGTACTGATAAAGTATTGAATACTGATTCCCAGCTCTATTCCCATTAGACAGCAACCTGTACTCAAACTAGCCATTGGCCAAGCTTTTAGAAACAGTGTGTGAGTATGATTAAGTAGAAAACACTCACTCACACATTCCACATCAAGCCTTGCCGAGTGTTCACACAAGCTTCAGACATCACTTATGACTGAACACGCGCACAAACAAGTTAAGTGCAGCCATGAGAGGAAAATCTATACATCCTCAATGGATGTGACATTGAGCTCTGCTGGGCCTAATTGCGATGAATGACTTGGTTCTGTTGGGTGTGTGTGTGTGTGTGTACGTGTGTGTGTGTGTGTGTGGGGGGGGTTAATACAAGATAACGATGTGAAAATCATTGTGTAAGTCTGCTGTAGTACCAGGGTGGCTCTCTTCTCTATCAGCAGAGCCAGAAAGCTGAATTAGTTCATTAGAGCAGGGCCATGTGAGACACTCTCCAAATAATTTGAGAAAACTGTCCAAACAGAGGGTCAGGAGTGTGTGTGAAACCCCAGCAGAAGACATAATGCACTGTATACCTGTTACACCCACAACAGCAGTTTGTAGCATATAAACACACAGAGGTTGGATTCTTTATAATATCAGGACATAGGGATCATACGTGTCTCAAATTTTTCTACATATATGCAAGTACCTCTATGTGATAACACGTCTCATATGTTTTACACATATTGTCACCGTCGCACAAAAACCTTGCAACTCCATTTTTGTTGTTTTTTATTTTTTTGCTTTGAAAAATCCATTTATTTAATTTCATGACGAATGGACCAATAGAAACGGTCCAATATTATTATTAAGTACCTATACATAACAATATGTCCCATATGTATTACATATATGTAAGTAAATATAATCAATATGTCCTATATCTATTATATACATCATATGGACAATAGTACTGGGACACCAACACATTACACCAACAGGAGATTTTACATCATCTCATTCTAAATCCACAGGCATTAGTTCCCCCCTTTGCAGCTATCCACTCTTCTGGGAAGCTTTCTACAAGATTTTGCAGTGTGTCTGTGGGATTTTTCTGCCATGCTGGAAAAGAAAAGAGCCTTTCCAAAACTGTTCCCACAAAGTTAGAAGCATACAATTGTCCAAAATGTCTTGGTATGCTGAAGCATTAATATTTCCCTTCACTGGAACTAAGGGTTCTAGGCCAACCCCTGAAAAACAACCCCACAGCATTATCCCTCCTCCACCAAACTTTACACTTGGCACAATGCAGTCAAGCAGGTAATGTTCTCTCAGACTCATCCATCAGACTTCCAGATTGATAAGCTAATTTGTCACTCCACCGAATACAGAATTTCCACTGCTTCAGAGTCCAGTGGAGGTGTGCTTTATACCAATCCACCCGCCGCTTGGCACTGTTCTTGGTGATATAAGGCTTGCATGCAGCTGCTCGGCCATGGAAACCCGTGCTGTGAAGCTCCTGGTGCAGTTTTTGTGCTGATGTTAATGCCAGAGGAGGTTTGGAACTCTGCAGTTATTGAGTCAGCAGAGCATTGATGACTTTTATGCACCTCAGCACTCAGCGACCCTGCTCTCTAACTTTACGTGGTCTGTCACTTTGTGGCTGAGTTGCTGTGGTTTCTAAACGCTTCCACTTTTCAATAAAACCACTCAGAGTCGATTGTGAAACATCTCGGAGGGAAGACATTTCATGAACCGACTTGTTGCAACGGTGGTATCTTATTACAGTACCACACGCAAACTCAGGGAGGTCTTTAGAACAACCCATTCTTTCACAAATGTTTGTAAAGGCAGACTGCATGGCTAGGTGCTTTTATACACCTGTGGCAAGGGGACTGAATAAAACACCAGAATTAAATAATTAAGAGGTGTGTCCCTATACTTTTGTCCATATAGTGCATATGCAAAAATATTTCTGTCCTGAAAAAAAGCTAAGGTTAGCCATTTATTGTTTTGTAGTACTTATTGCTCAATGTATTAACAGCAATGCACTGGACCTCAATAACAATCCTCATCCAACACACACACACACACACACACCCAACAGGAACACCCCAACGCAAGCTGCTTCAATGATGCAACTCTCCTTGCGCTGTAGCAACAATTGCTAATGACGATCCAAGCACAGAAATCATTACCACATGAGGCTCATCACAAGGCCCATAATGACATAAGAGCGAGCACTCAGCCATCTTAGTCCTTTATAAGTGACAATGAGCACTTTGATGTCAGCGCCTTGTGCTAAATCAAGACGATCTGGAAGCACTTAATATACATGAAGGCAAAAGTCCTGAAACAAGCACAGCTGTACAATATGTGAGCATGAGGTTGTGACCTAGCCCACCCAACATGGCTTCTTGCTAAGACTGCTAGCTTTTTAGCTGTCAACTAAGATCCCCGTAACAATCTTCTTAGTGATCAAAAAGAACCTAAAAGGCAATTGATTAAGTTTGTTGTCATAAAATGTATCCGTATGCATAAGATGCATAGGTGCATTTTGTAGGTTTACAATTACTGACTCGACTGTCAGCCCCCCTCTACCCTTTCCATCAAGGTCAAGGGACCATCATATGACCAGCAGCCAGGTAGAGGGGGCTGATAAACAATGCAGCAAAGTAAGGCTACAGTCAGTAACTGTTTACCTACAAAGTGGACCTCTATTGTAGATGTACCTGATTAAATGGCCAATCAGTGCAGGTTCTGGCCATTAATAAGCTGGCAGTGTATAACGGTGTGGCAGGAGTGCTACAAAAAGACCATACCTTTGGCAAGCGCTCTGGGTCTCCAGGATGCCGAGGAATGACCTTCTGTAACCGCTGGAAACCATAGTCGATGGTGGGCTCATTCAGGGCTGAAAGATGAAAATACACAATCAAGTCTAAAGTGTTTGTTCTAAAATGTTTTTTTTTGGCCGAATCACACTGCGACAAATCAAGTTACGACAGGAGAAAGTGACACTGAAATGTACAATTGTTCTAATGGAAATCATTGTATATTCCTAAGATTGCCCATATTTATCGAACGCTAAGTGCAAAAGGCACATATAGTATGGTAATCTTGATATTTTAAGGATTTTGAGGATTTTAAGGGACGTTCCATGTTGCATTTTGTGCAGCAATTACTATGCGCTAAGTCTTTATCTTGTCAGAAACAGGAAAAATCCCATCAGTCAGAAGGTTAAGGTCGGGAGGAAGATTTATAAGCTACCTGACAAAAGTTGCTTCAATAATAGAGAGCAAATGGAAGTGGAAAAAAATAATGGATGCAGACTCATTTGCAGCAGTGCTTTGTTTTTAAAAGCCTACTCTTTAAAAGCTTCTATAAGAACCATTTAAGGCCAATCTATGTTTTAGCGTGAAGACTGTTCTACTTTTGGACAAGATCTTTGAAATTTGAAACAGAGTGACAGTGCTATAGGACTAGACATAAGTTTATTAACAGAAGATACACTTGTAGCAATATTTTAAAACTTTGCTATTGTAAAACTAAAATGTGGTCAGCCAAATGTAGCGGTTCCCGTGTGGGGCTTCACTAGCAAGGGCAGATGGGATGGAAAGGACATCCAGCTGGCCGTTCCTTTGGCTTTAGCAAAAATGTAATACTCAAGTCAGTTAAAGGGCCGTCCAGACCGAAACCTAACATTTAATATGTTATTTGTTGTGTATGCATTATAGAAACACATTAGACATCCAACCACTGCCTGTCCCCTGCGGTGACAAAGAAATCCTGAGTGCTAGTAAACTCACATACAGATGTGCTTTTTGGCTTCCTAGTAGTAATGATATCTGGCCTTTTTTGAAATTTTGAAGATTTTAAACTGCAGCGATATTCCACACTTTCCCACACCAGTTCTAGTGCGTATTCTCACCACACTACACTACACAGGGCAAGTCTATATAAACGAATCTATAAAGGAACCTATAAAGAAATTATGTTATGATCAGGTCCATCACTAATCCAGAAACTGTGATTGTGCTTATTCAATTGAGCCTCAGCACTGCGCTTACTTGTGCATTGTCCCTCCACCTGCTCACAATATAAAAACCGTCTGAAGCCATAAAATGAAATCTTGATAAAAAAACAACATGGTATTTAGTGAAGCATACAGGGGGCCTCAACTAAGCCTCTCCTCCACAGCTTTTGCCAAGCATGGAGCATGAAGATGGAGAGAAAAGAGGAAGAGAAAATGAGAAAGTGGTTTGGATGGTGTGTGTGTGAGTGAGTGTTATGGGTTGATGGGTCACAGAGGGAGAGTGGAGTTGGGTGCTTTCCTGTCAGTTGGAGCAGATGGTCACAGCTCAGTGAATTCTTATGAAGTACTAATGAAGTTAGTATGTGGTCTGCTACAAAGGGAAGGAAACTTGAGTAGGTGTCATTCAGGCAAGATATGATTTACATCAGCCTGAAAGTCCACTTTTTTGCACTTTGCATCTGTGGATCAACTACCTTATAATAATTCATCACATTTAAAATGGCAGCACTTTGATATCTTGGGTGAGGGGCTGTTTGTGTGTGTATGTGCATGTGTTTGTGTGTGTGTTAATATGCTGAATATGGAGATTGATGGGCTAGCTCTCTGTGAAACAGTCACATGGCTCATAGATGTCAGAACTAGTTTGCTCTACTCTTATTGCCATTGATTTCTACATTGCACCCAATTGTCTCACTCAGCCTGGGGAAAACATTCACTTACTAAGGTCAGAGAGAGAGAGAAAGAGAGAGAGAAAGAAGGGGGGGATTCAGAAAGAAAGGATTCAGAGAGTCAGAATAGAGAGAGAAAGAAATAAAAAGAGAGAAGGCAGAAAGAGGGAAGAGACAGAAGAAAGAGATAAGAGAAAAGTGAGGGTAAGGAAGAGAGAAATGGGGGAGAGGAGAGAATGACAGAATGATAGAAAGGGAAAGAGAAGAGAATGAAAGAAGAGAAGAAGAGACAAAAAAACAGATCCAAACAGAGAAAAAGTGAGAGCGACAAGAGAGATGAAAGAGATGAGAGAGAGGGAGAGAGAAAGTGAGAAAGAAAGAAGAGAAAGAAAAAGATGAGCAAGAGAGAAAAAGACAGTGAGAAAGAGAAAAAGTGAGAGGAGAGATAGAGAGGAGAGAGATAGAGAGAGAAACAGCAGATTAATCCAGGTCTAAGTAAAGTAGTGGTAAAACAAGCAAGGTTTACAGAATTACATTATGGATTTCTTAGATAAGATCCAACCGTTACTCTACTTCCAACACGGACAACTCACATACAGCAAAGCTGGGCCACAAGTAAATCCACTGACATTTTAAATTACTTTAGAGGTCAAGCATGCAGCATAGTGACGATAATGCTGAGGTGTGGACTACATTTTTAAAATTGTGCATAGTTTACATGGTATAGATATAGTTTATCTTCTCTAAAGGAAGAGAATTTAAAACAGACCAGAATGGCACAAACACCATCATCTCCTTAAATAAACCCTTTGCATTAAAAACAACCCTAACAAAAATGGGGAAGTGGGACTGTTTTGGCCTAAACGTTCACTGTAGCCCTGTACAATATTTGCTACATGTGAAACAAGTGCTAACCACACCGCAAGTATTTATAACTTGGCCTAGCTCCGCTCCTTCAAACTTTTTTATTGTTTTCTTCGTACTGCCACATGGCTTCAATTTGCTCAAGGATGTTGGTTTATCATTCTCCCTGGGCAGCATTAGCGGTTAAATGCCCCAAAATAGCATTCGGGGCCAAGCTGGACTTATACCAACTGTGTAAAGTTATATGCTAACTCGGCACAGCTAAATGTGACATTACAGCAGGGATTAGCTAAGGGAGGATAACAAGCTAGCATTTACACTACTTCCTTGTCAAATTTACCACATTAGTAAGCCTATCAATGAGTTTTAGCAATATTATCAGTTCTAACAGGACTCAAAAACCATAGCATTGTGTTTGTGCGGTAGCAACTTCAAAGCTTCACCTCAGCTTTCTTCTAATTATTGATGAAATTGACAGCTGAAACTCAATTCACTCTTTATATTCATTCATACATTTCTAAGCAGGTGTTTTAGATGGGGAACTGAGTGAATTTCATGAACTGAAATTTAGCTTGTCTGAACTGAATGAAAGTCCAGTTCATCTCAGTAATTGTTTGAACTGAAACAAAATGGACCTCAACAGGGTTTGCAAGAAACCACAAGCAGAATAAGCTAGCATTGTTAGCTTCACAGTACTGAAAGAGCTCTACTGCAAAAAACAAAAAGAAAATCTTAATGGAAATTAGCTTCAGGTATAGTTTTTAGTTCTGTTTTTTTCAGTGCAATTATGGCGTTAATCACTGTGAGAGGAAATGCCAAACTGTTTTCAGCAGTAGAAACTGAAGAAGAAATTTGCTGATGGTTTGTATTCTTAAGAAGCACTTAAGGGCACGTGATAAGTTGAGAATGTCAGGCTAGATTCACAGCCGATTTAGTCATTAGCAGTTTGTTAAGGTTTCACAAAAAAGAACATGGCATTAATGGACAGTTCCAGTGGAATAAAATTACTAAAATTACCAGCACAAAACTACTGGCTGGTGTCTTGGAAAATGTCAAATTGATATGACTGGAATTACCTCAGCAATAAATTAATGAGCAAATAGGCTACCCATGTCTCTCTCTCTCTCTCTCTCTCTCTCTCTCTCTCTCTCTCTCTGACCACATTGTGAGAGATCTCTTGCAATCACACAGATCAATGCTCATTGAAATTTCATGAGGGCAGATGCAGGCCTCATCATATTTCACAATAATGACCTGGAGGGGAGGATGGTGTGAGTAGAGGAAGAAGGAATAGAGGAGGAGGGGGAAGGGGAAGAAGGCAAGACCCACCATTAAAAATGGGCAGAACAGAAAATGAGTGTATGGCAAATCAGCCAGCTCCTTCAAAACACAAGTACAGATGCACATACGTTGTCTATTAGAGCAAAAATATTCAACTATTTTCTAGGTTTATGAATGTCCTAACTTTAGTCTCTTTAAATGATCACGTCAACCGAGGGGCCCAGCCAGCTAAATTTCACCATCATAATTTAAGGTTCCTCAGATGGTTATTCTCAATGTCATCAACACCTATAAAATGTTGGCTCTATCTTTCTTTGTCCTTAACTTTGACTCTAGCCTGGCATACTGTAGAATAACATCTGACTAAGACACCTAGCGCTCTATTCCATAGTGTTTTAATGTTCGTTTTTTTAATATGTGCAGTCTAGGTATATGAAGAATGTTCTATGTTCTAACTATTGCACCTCCACTGGGCCACAACCCTAGTCACTTCCTCTTTAAGTGATCAGGCCAATTGATTAGCTCACTCGCCTAATTTTGCTACAATAAGTTAAATTCCTCCAGTTGGCCATCCTTCATAACGTCATTCAATAACTATAAAACATTTTAACTAGAACACCCCTTCCTTTATTTTCCCTGCTTGCCTTTGGCTCCAGATATCCTGCCATACAACGGCGCAGTAACGAAGGGAATGTAGTGTTCAGCACTCGCTCTTTTCTGGAGGGTGTCCACCCCCTCCCCTTCCAGGTGTGATCTCAAGGCGAGGGCTCAGGGGGATCGATTCATGCACCAGTGCGGCGCTCGATACCTCTGAATTATTGCTTCATTCTTCCCTCCTTATTATAGATGAGTTATTTTTTTCCCCAAGCCACCCCACTTTAGGATCAATAGAGAACAATCTTATTCTTATATCTTGCCTCTCCTTCTCTGTCTCTAATACAGTAAGAATGTGTTATCTTTATGATGCAAGGCTTGTCAGCAGAGATTCGGTGTGAAAGGGGGAGGTAGTGAGTCTGTTCTGCAATGTAATGTCGCTCTACGCTAAATGTGATGCTATGTAATATT